GTTGGTTCCGAACTTTATTGGTCATCTTTTTGCTGGAAGCTAGATAAGCTTCGTATAAATTTGAATGCCTGGATTCAAGTACTACATGCATAGACTCTTCATGAAAAAAAGAACTCGTGGAAATTGAAGTGTACCCGTCGTAAGCTTAAAAGATGTCTCACAAGCAATTTCTTAAGTGTTTGAGATTGTGCAATTTTCCAGAGTTTGCACCCCTTAAGCCAAAACTCATCCCATCTCTTTCTTCCAGTAAACATCCAGACTTTCCAAATTTAGAAGTTTTACAGCTGATTTCTGTCCCTTTACACCTCAGCTGCTGGTGTTGCATGAGATCGGTTGTGTAGTGACTGATTCAGAATAGAAATATACTCTCTCTCTCTATATATATATATAAAACAGTAGTTATTTCTTGTGCTTATTTTCCCACTCATCTTCTACACACTTGCTTTTAAACTTTTATTTCTTTAATCGTTTTTTATACTTTTTGTGCTGTAGCAGCTGCACAGTGCGTATTTGCAGTTCAAGTGCATTTATCCAAGTTTTCAAATCAGCAACCAAAAGAGATAAGAAGCTTGAATTTTAACAATTTATTTCCTGCTCACGCGCCGTTCCGCCAGTTTAAATTCGGCCATCGCATATGCTTAAAAATTCGCATTTCAGTCTTTATTATTTCCGATACTATTAGCCAATATCTGTTCATGAAGTGGAATTTACTATTCTGCTTGAACTCGATAAGTTAGTATCTAGTACTAGATAAATATATAACTAACATCATGACACTGGCATACTGCAGAAATTAGCATTCCAAAGACAGAACAGAAGGAAGGATAAGTGGGAGTAAAAAGCCATTAAAGGCAGGGAGAGGGAAGAAGGAGGGAAGACGAATTTCGGCAGAACAAAATAATTGGCCAACGCACGGGCTGCCCGTGCGAAGATGCGTTTTTTGCATCGTTTCCCACAGTTTTTGTCGCTACAGGCATCGGTTTTTTCAGCAAATGCTTCTAGCTGAACAAATTAAGACTAGCCGCCAGAACTGGCAGGAAACAGCCTCTTAAAATTCCAGCTTTCTAGCTTCCTGGTTCCTGAATTATCATCTACTTAGACGGCGAAAATCCCCTTAAGATTTCAGCGTTCTAGCAATCTCAAATCCCCGAGTTGTGAACTTGCCCGAAAAAAATTTTGACGGGCCCGCACGCGGGTATCACGCTTACTCGGGGGATGGATTTGAGTGCATTAATGCCTGCTTGGACGGAGGACATCACCCTAAGATTTCAGCGTTCTAGCTTCTCAGATCCCCGAGTTATGAACTTGCCCAAAAAAAATTTTGGTGGGTCCATGCGCAGGTACCACGCTTACCCGGGGGATGGGTTTTAGTGCACTAACACCCAGCTGGACGGGGAACATCCCATAGGGTTTCAGCTTTCTAGCTTCTCAGATCCCCGAGTTATGAACTTACCCGAAAAAAATTTTGCCGGGGCCGTATGCAGGTACCATGCTGGTAATGGCCCCAATTTTGGGGATTGGGGCCGGCAGGTGCATGTAGATTAAGTTCCCGAAATTTCAGCCCTGCAGCTTTTATAGGTCTAGAGATGAAAGTGCGTGGCAGACGCATACACAGACACACGAACACACAGACAACTCCTCATCAATATGCGTTTTTGCATTGCATAGCTGCAAAAAACACATAAAAACATTTCAGCCGTCTTGGATTCTGCCATCTTGTTAGCTATTAGGAAATGCTTTTAAGTCACAATTAGAATCTTTCTAGCATTTGAGCGGAAGTCCAGTAAAAAGCTGGCATATTAAAGCAGTAGTCAATATAAGTTAAAATTTGCTCAGTTAGCGCAAAGACCGGAGATTGCATTAGAATCCGAAGACAAGAGTGATCCAAATTCCTCTCATTACGTACATGTTTGGAAAACAGCTTCGTCCACAAGATGGAAAGCATTAAAAGTAATTTTGTTGAAGTTTTGACCGATTAGACCAACAGTGTGGTGTGCTATTTGCTCTGGATGCTGTTGACCTGCTCCAGTGCATTCGACAAGAAGTCTGGCGAAAGAGCCACCTGCTCCTGAACAACGCTGAATAGCATCCTGATCGGCCCTGGATTAGTAATATTAGCATTAGCTTAATGTGCTGTAATGTGTATTTATGAGGTTTGTCTGATGGATGAGCTGCACTTCGCCTGCCAACAATCATCAATCACTTTTTGATTGCGAATATTATTGCTGGCGGCTCTACCTCCGGTGGCCACTGCTGCTCATCGCTATCCAGGCGGAGGATAAGATCGCGCATTCTCGAAGAGCTCTTTCCGAATTTTTTCTGGCAGTTGCCGTTCTCGCACTCATTCTTTTCTGGAAATGAAGAATGCAGGGCAAAGGAAGCGAGGAAGGAGACAAAGTA